TCGTTGAGCTGTGAATTTTGCTACAATCTATGCGCCCCATTGCTATACAGCACAGAGGTATCCTTAACATTGCTTATAGAGAAGTTTTTCTCATACATATATGCGCTTTTATGTTTAGAAGTATTTGTCATGGCACAAGTCGCGAAACGATTGACGATGCGGTTGCTGAGACGGTCTATAGTCAGCACTACGAGCAGTGTAGGTATTTTTCGTTCCCCAAGTAGATTTTACTTTTATTTGTCAAAGTAATGGGTTATACCGCAAAAAAATTGCAACATGAGATTTAGACTTTGGCTCTTAGAATACCCCAAAAGAAGTAAACCTTAGTTGTTGTCTAGATGCATTTCCTCATAAATCCTTCTTTACTAGCTCTTTTCCTTAGACTTGAACTTTTTTAACTGCTTGTTTATGTTTCATGCTCAAAATATTTTAATTCTGTCTACACTCCAGATGTAATTTTAATTTTTTGCGTTTGTTTCACTTAAAATCTACCATTATGCTACATTGACGTTCTATCAGCAATCTTAAACCTTTGGAAGTTTTGGGATGCAGCTAACATTGTCTTGAACAAAATGAAGCCCTCTGCTCCTGCGTGCAATTTCTTCAAACGTTAGGATACAAGTTATTCCGATTTACCTCATTGGATAATTAGCCGCGAACGGCAAAAAACACTGCCCTCTTATCATCTCTTTTGGCAAATTGCTCTGCCGAAGTGACTGCTCCCAGACTTTTTTAAAGGATTCTCATTATTAACATTTTGGCTTCCATTCTGCTGAACCGCTGAGCTGTGAATACGATCTGAAAACTTATTGAAACAATGGTTATTAATTTTTTTTGAAAAAATGTATTCTAGAAATGGTAGTCAGGCGGAACGCAAAATGTTAAGCAGATGTAAACTATTTCTCCGTCTTCTCCATAATATTCGAAACCTTCGCAGGTGCACTTATATCAAACATGGTTACAAGAAAAATCTTTATGAATATTTTCAAAATCCCGTGGTGAATATTATTTTAGCACTAACAAAATTTTGTGATGGGTTATGCTTCTTTAGATTATGAAACGAATCTAAGCAAAACGCACGCTATTGCTAGAAAATTCCAAATGGAAAGAGTTGACTGATAAATTTGGCGCAAGTTTCAAGATAAAAACCAAATGGAAAACTATCACCCTCTGAAGGAGTTGTAACTAAGTATGCCTTGATGCGCTTGATTCAGCAGAATTCAAAGAGATGTGCGCGCTTAGTTCCCGCATATGAATAATGCTTATCTCAAGATTGAGAGCAGCTTCATGTTGTCATTTGTAGGATTTCCCTTAACTGAAGTTTGTGAAGGTGACAATGGGCCAGAAAGGAGCATTTTTCTGATTCACATCATTTTCACAAATAGTCGAAAAATTAATCTTCTTATTCATTACGAAATGCTTGAAACTCTAATATTCTTTTAGAAATGACGTTATATGTTTTCCATTAATTTTGGAATACTAATCATAATATCATCAGAAGAAGGGCAGAATATTATTAGTTCCAACAACAGATATACAATTAATTCAAACAATCGGATCTTCAAGCTACTTCTTCTTTTTTTGCTTTTTGCAACAATGGAGAGGGACTAGCAAACAGCTAATGCATTGTTTCCCATTGAAAT